GAATGAATGTTTTTCTGTTAGAATTTTGTTCCTGCGTACAAAATAATGAACTGGTTTCACCCGTGGTCTCTGCTTTTTGGAATTTTTCCCGATATAATTTTGTATCTGATAATCAAACATGATACAGCAATATCGTCATGATCATTTCTGACTAAAAATATATAGTTTTAATAATTAATATATATATATTTTTAAATAGCCTATCGTCTTCCCCGTATTTTTTTACCTATGTATGGAAATTTTGGTTTGAATTAGTGAACTACTGCGAATTTGTATACCGGACATACAGACAGACAAACAAACATACAAACATTCATTTTTATATATATTTTTAATATCAACACCTGACCCACTTATCTTTTATTTTTTCTATTGTTTTTTTCATGTGTTAAGCGTCTTTACGCAAATTTGGCCTTAAATACCCATTTTCTGATTTCTCGGGAAGCCATTGGGACCAAAAATATTTTTTGGTCGCAGTGGTTACAGCCTTCTCCACGCTGACGAGCGCCAACAGCGCGAAACGCGTTCGTGGATGGCTTTTCTTGATAAATCAAGAAATTGGGTTGGCCAAATATCACGGAGCAAGCTAAATAAACGTTTAGTTTATTTTTGCTCCACTAGATGGCGCTCTGCCATCTAAAAGCACATGTGCTCGTGGTCAGGAGATGCCTTTTTTATTTTTAATATATATATATATATTATAAAAAATGAATGAGTTTTTCTGCTTGAATTTAGATCATGTTGAGGATTAAACTATGGTAAATGCATCGTGGTTAAAATCTTAAAAAAATAAAATAATAAAAATAGTTTTGATCAGTAATTTAATTGAGTTAAAGGGATATATAAAAAGACATAATTTGATAAAAGTGCTGCCTGGCTCAAGGCGAATAGAACAAGGAAAAACAAAAGATTATTTACATAATGTACAAAAGTTTTAAGCCGGCCATTGGGATAAAACAACAACGAGTTTTTATAGGGGAAGAGTGACCTCTGGCGGTCGATTTAGCAGAGTATTTGAATCTATGAAATTATAATTTAAAATAAAATAATATTTTTTATATATAACATATATATATATACATAGAGAGAGTGAAGAAAGAAAGTTCCCAGCAAGGAGAGAGACCTACCCGTACGATACAAGGACGTATCCATGTCACTGATGGAAGTCAGTTAGTATCACGTGACCGGTTACACCAGTCGAAGTAACTACCTTCCGGTGTTATCGGCTGGTTTTATAAACCTTGGTTGGCAGCATTACGTCACCAACGTCATTCATTTGTACTTTTAGAGCATGGATACACTGATTGGCTAGTTAGGAACCTTTTTTTAACACAAGTCGATAATGTGCGACACCTATATCCAAGAAATGAAACTATTGACACACGACTTTTTTTCTTTACAACTGAAACTAACATCCCTCTGTGTTCTCTCTTAACTCTTTTGTGAATAATTATACACTCATGGACAAAACTTAAATAGAAAGTCTTTGATACAACATTCTTCCAGATAAGTAAACAGAAGTAAACATAACAGTTATCTAAAGTAAGTGGAGATTAACATCGATCTTTCTTCAAGTTGGATCCATCATCTGTGTTGCGTCTATTGTCTGTACTGTTTTCCAGAATTTGTTAAAAGCTAATGTATTGGGTTCGATTTGTATTTTGTACACACTTGGTTATCTCGTGTGTCTTCAATAAAGGTCACTGTAATATCTTTCAGAGTTATTGTCTGAATCCCGATATACATGCTAAAAGGTACAACTTCCTTAAGTTTTGTCCATGAGTGTATATTGGTTATCTCGTGTGCCTTCAATAAAGGTCACTGTAATATCTTTCAGAGTTATTGTCTGAATCCCTATATACATGCTAAAAGGTACAACTTCCTTAAGTTTTGTCCATGAGTGTATATTGGTTATCTCGTGTGTCTTCAATAAAGGTCACTGTAATATCTTTCAGAGTTATTGTCTGAATCCCGATATACATGCTGAAAGGTACAACTTCCTTAAGTTTTGTCCATGAGTGTATATTGGTTATCTCGTGTGTCTTCAATAAAGGTCACTGTAATATCTTTCAGAGTTATCGTCTGAATCCCGACATACATGGTAAAAGATACAACTTCCTTAAGTTTTATCCATGAGTGTATATTGGTTATCTCGTGTGTATTAAATAAAGGTCACTGTAATATCTTTCAGAGTTATTGTCTGAATCCCGACATACATTCTAAAAGGTACAACTTCCTTAAGTTTTATCCATGAGTGTATATTGGTTATATCGTGTGTATTAAATAAAGGTCACTGTAATATCTTTCAGCATTATTGTCTGAATTCCGATATACATGGTAAAAGGTACAACTTCCTTAAGTTTTGTCCATGAGTGTATATTGGTTATCTCGTGTGTCTTCAATAAAGGTCACTGTAATATCTTTCAGAGTTATTGTCTCAATCCCGATATACATGCTGAAAGGTACAACTTCCTTAAGTTTTGTCCATGAGTGTATCACCCACAATACAATAGTAGAGATCGAAAAAATAAAAAGCGGAATAGTAGATAAACTGGCGAAACCGCTGGAAAGGTTCACCACTGATGAGCCAAGCCTCTCGCAATATATTTTTCATTAAAGTTAAGGACATCCTTGGAGCAATGGCCACCCAGACCTTTCGGTCCATAAGCCGGCATGCGAAAGCATACCCTTTGCTGCATTATCTAGGCCACCGTACCAAAAGGAATGATGCATTCTCCATGCACCGAGCGGCCATTGTTTGGCCACTCGCGCCCGCCTTTATGGTCTGGCTCCATGGGGGCAACCAATCAACCCACAGGCGTCTCCGAGAGTCCATGGCAAGATTGCTGACCGAGCCCTCCCGTTCGGACTTGGCTTAACCCGTCCTACCCTCCAATAAGACTCCTCCCCCTTTGGCCCTCGTACCCTTTGTTCACAGTACTCCCTGAATCTGCCGACGAATCGAGGACCTCTGAGGTTCCGAGGTTTACACAGGGAACCAACGCGAAGGCGGGAGGGTGGTACTGCTGTAAGAGAGGTGAGTTTCTATTTGAAACTGAACAAATATTCTTTAAAGGCTTCATATAATGAATTTCTCGTATTGGTAAATTAGTTTCAATTATTATATATATAAATGGCGTGTATATATGTCTTTTTATTATCTAATTATGGAGATCGCTCTATTAAAAAATACAATGTTATCAAAATTTGAAACTATTTTAAACGCGTAAGATTCTTTTTGAAATTAAACAATTTCTACTGCCCTTACTGCAATGGAAAAATTAATGGGAGGGCCTGGCTCATCAGTGGTGAACCCTCCCAGCGGTTTCGCCAGTTTAATCTACTATATCAGTTCACCACTGATGATCCAGGCCCTCCGATTAATTTTTCCATTGCAGTAAGGGCAGTAGAAATTGTTTTAATTTCAAAAAGAATCTTACGCGTTTAAAATAGTTTCGAATTTTGATAACAGATGGCGCGCTAGTGTATCATATTAAAAATACAATGTATTATATGTATTACGTATTTGTATTAAAACAATGTATTTTTTAAACTAAGAGACAGGTGTCATTTTGGTACAAGAATACCGAAATCTCTCAATAAAATTAGACGAAAAACATGGTGAAGGAAGACGAGTTTCTTTTATTGATGCATAGGTGCAAGCTTTCGGGTAAAAACCCTTCAACAGGCGAGCAATGAAGCGCGACTTATAAGAACTATGGTACAAATGGCAGGAAGGAATCTATATATATAAAAATGGATGTTTGTTGGTCCGTCCGTCCGTCCGTCCGTTTGTCAGTGATGATCTTCTACATCGCTCAACCAATCGTGATGAAACTTTGGGAAGATGTTTAGTATACTACCGGGATGGTTTATGGCTAATTACTCTTTAGAAATAACCTTTCGTTGCATTTTTATTTACAATAAAACGTAAATTCACGCGCAAACTGCGCCCCTCTCGCGGCAGACGGGGGATGGCGGCGCGCGACGATTGGCTGCCGGCGCAGCACGTGACCTCCCTGCCTCCCCCCGCCGAGTAAATGAGATCTCCCGGCTGACGGCCGAGCAGCGCCCTCTAGAACGCGTTACGATTTTGACGGCGCGGGGCGCTCCCGGTTGGACAGTTGATTATAATCAATGATTACAATGAAGGGCTATATTGTCTATATATGTAAAAATCACTTTCAAATATTAACGTAACGTTCCATTCTCAATCCCGTTGGGCTTTAGATCGGCTAAAACATTTTTATCTTTATTAGTGAATATTAACTTTACTGTACTGAATAGTTTAGTATAATGTTAATTCAACATATTACAATTTAGCCACTGCAACGCGTGGCCGGGTTCGCTGTGTAGTATACTATCAGGACGATTTCTGGCGAATTATTTTAGAATAATATTTATAGCAATAAATATAGCGAAATTAAGACGTAGTGATTATATTCTGTGTTTGTGCATATATAAATATTTTACAGAAAATGTGAGAACGTTCTATTAGAATATCTCGAAAACAAAAAACAATACATATAATATAACATATACAATATACAATACATATACATTTTATCTTTATAAGTGAATATTGACTTTACTGTACTGAATAGTTTAGTATAATGTTAATTTAACATATTACAATTTAGCCACAGCAAGGCGTGGCCGGGTCCGCTAGTATATATATAAATGAAAGTTTTAAAACTATTTATATATGTTAATATTAACTGAAGACCGATTTTTGAGAAAAGTAAACCATGTTTTTCGTCTAATTTCAATTCAGGAAGAATTCTTTATCTATATTTGCAAATTCGTTATTACTCCATATCTCAATAGAATGTTTGTAAAAAAACCTGAAGTCAGTAAAGAAAGGAAGTTTTTATCAAGGAGGGAAAAATACCTACCTGTATCCATGTCGCTGACGGAAACCTGTATCAGGTACCTATGTCACAAGCTGAGGCAACTCTCCCGGGTTATCAGATGACAACGTCACAATGTCATTAGTAAATGTCCAAGATAACCCAGTAGACATGGCATCTGCCCGATAAACGGAACACTGTGGGTTCGATTCCCATCTCTGGACACTTTTATTTATCTGTTTATCATTACTCTTCACAATTCATTCTTTCATACCTAAGGTTAGAAATAATCGTTATTTCTCCCTAAAATAAATTTCAATTTTTTTCGTTCAAAAGAAACACATGCGGAATAATTTTCAAATGTAGTTCTACAAGTGAATAAATAGTCGAAATATTTGTACTTTTAGAGCATGTTACACAGTGATTGGATAACTTGATTGGAACCTTTTTAAACACAAGTCGATAATACGCCATCTTTTTTAATTATTAATAAAAAGACAATTCGCTGAGGGAAAAGTTTATTTTGCATATAACGACAATAAAAGCTTTCGGGCTCAACAGCTCTTTGACAGGTATAACTACGGTACTAAAGTTATTTCGAATCTAATCCATATACAAGGTATGTCCCATAAGTTCCCGGACTGGGTCCATAAAAAAAAAAAGGTAAGATTTTTTTAAATTTTTTAATTAAAACTTTTCAAAGTAATCCCCCTTGCTTCAACGCACCAGCGCCATCGTTTCTCCAATTGTCGAACAGTTTTATAGGCCTCTTTTGGAATGCTCTTCAATGCCAGCAGCGATTTTTCTATTGTGTCTTCCCTGGTGTCAAAATGTCTTCCTTTTAGAACTGCTTTGAGTTTGGGAACAGGAAAAAGTTAGTTGGTGCGATGTCTGGGGAATAGGGTGGTTGAGGTAGGATTTCTGTCCCGTTTTTCGCCAAAAAACCCGTCACCAAGTGCGCTGTGTGAGGGCGGGCATTGTCATGGTGTAGGATCCAGTCACCATTAGTCCATTTTTCTGGCCTTTTTTTTCGAATCGCTTCCCTTAGACGGCGAAGAATGCTCAAATACATTTCCTTAATAACTGTTTGGCCTGCAGGAAGATACTCGTGATGAACAATGCCCTTGTTATCCAAAAAAGCGACCAGCAACACCTTGTTTCTGGATTTCAATATCCTGGATTTTTTGGGTCTAGGCTCAACCTGACCTCTCCACTCGGCAGATTGACGCTTGGTTTCAGGGTCATAGCCATAGGCCCATGTCTCGTCGCCTGTGATTATCTTGTCTTTCCATTCCGGATCCGTTCTTGTCATTTCCAGCATGCCCTCACAGGTTGCAAGCCGACACAGTTTTTGCTCATTAGTGAGGAATCTTGGGATGAATTTTGCAGGAGTCTTTTTGAGCCTCAAATCTTCGTTACGATCCTTCCAATCGTTGTTTTAGAGATGCCTGTGTCTTGCTCTAGCTTCAGCAAAGTGGTTCGAGGATTTTCTTTTATCAAATCGGTGATTTTTTGCACATTTTCATCAGTCCTTTGAAATGTTGGGCGTCCTTGACGAGGATCATCTTCAATGGAAATTCTGCCAGCTTTAAATCTAGAATGCCATTCAAAAACAGTTGTTCTCTTTGGGGCGTTATTGGGAATGCTTTATTAAGCATTTCAAAAGTGTCGGTTGCTGATATTTGAAGTTTCACACAAAATTCTATGCAAATCCTCTGCTTCAATTTTTGTTCCATCGTAAAATCGCCGCAGCGCAAGGTGTGACCTTTAAATAAATTAGAATAACTTTGGCGCACGCGCACGTACCGCCTCGATATTGGTACCACCGTGTTGCCAGATATTTTTTCTATAATAAACTGTCAAATATATTTACATTTTTCATTTATTTATTTTTTTATGGACCCAGTCCGGGAACTTATGGGACATACCTTGTATATACATACAGCGAAGTAGGAAATATAAGACAGATATGCAAATAACTTTATTTACATAGTACAATGTGAAAAATGAATTATTGGTTGATGCTAATTCTCTATTGAAGTATTGTGATTATTATCCCTAGTACACGTGGGTAGTACAGACCATGATAATCATGGTGAGTAGAAGTTGACGACTGCTATTTTTTACTGTAAGTATACACCACATGTATACACATGTGAAAAACAGTTAGACTTTGCACTTACAACTTACAAATGTGCCAGTGCCCTTGTACTGTTGTAGAATTATGCCTCAGGATGGTTGATACTGCTCTCCACAAGGGTTTAATCTTTAAGTTCTGAGAATTCTCCGTAAAATGTATTTAAGGAACTATGACTATAAGCTTTGAAAACAGTATATTTTTTAAATTATCCCTAATACACGTGGTACAGGCCATGATAATCATAGTGGGTAGAAGTTGGCAACTGCTTTTATTCCATGCACCAATATCCAGGCACCAGCCTGCTTTGAGCACCCTAATTTTTTTCAAAATAAAATTGCCGGAGAACCCAATCAACCGGTAAAAGCCAACCGGGCCTACCAACGTCCTGTCGGCCCCAACGATAAACGCTTTGCAACGCATCGAAGGGAGCGCGACTGAGATCCAACTATGAGCTTTTTAACCTCAACAACTTTAATATATGCTATTGGAGCTAGAGTTACCGCGGCAACTGCTTTTACTGTAAGTGTACCACATGTCTACATATTACTTGCACTCACTGGTGGGGTTGGACATTTTCAAGAATCTGGGGCCATTGTAGCATTCTTTTTAATCAGAAAAAAAGTGCCCAATGCGGGATTTGATCCCGGGTCGTACGGTCGAAAACAAACGGTTTCGACCATCCTTCCACCGACCTCCCCATATCTAAGAAATGTAACTATTGAATACTTGATGGACACTAACAACAAATTGGGCAATTTATATTTTTATTGATTAAACCTGCTCTGAAAAAAGAACCCTTATTCTCAAAACTGGGCAACTCTGTGCTTCACTTCCATCAATAATTGACAATATGACCCAGAATAAGTATATTGCTACGGCGTTTTATGGTTTCCACAAGTCCATTTCTCAGAAGAAGGCCAAGTGACACGCACTCTCACTTTCTTACTGCTACTCTTTATGTATAAAGTTGGAATCCTCTGATAAGTATAAGTAAAGGATATGAAGCGTACGAGGATACTTTTCTTTTAAATTTTAATGATTTTACAAACGTTACTTTTTGAAAATGTTTTTCTATAATTTCCCGTAGAAGGGCTGTTTTCGCCCGAAAGCTTGAATCTTCATTAAAATTTAAAAGAAAAGTATCCTCGTACGCTTCATATCCTTTACTACTCTTTATGTGTTGTTTTTCTTGCTTCCCTCTTTCTCTTTCTTGTTTTTTTTCTCTTTCTTCTGTCTATATCATTATTTCCTTTGTCTCACTGCTTTGTTCTTATGCATACCTCTGGTGAATCCTGTATAGGGTCAGTGACCCTAAATAAAGACCTTTTGTTTTTGTTGTATTGATTAAACCTGCAAAAGCCTTGATCATGAAAGCCATGGTATGATTGGGTATGGAATGATGTATAGATAGGTGTGTGAGAAATTGAAACTTATTTTAGACGCGTATGATTCTTTTCAAAAATTAAACAAATATATCTAGTGCCCTTACTGGAATGAAAAATTAATTGGAGAGCCTGGATCATCAGTGGTGAACCCTCCAAGCGGTTTCGCCAGTTTAATCTACCATACCGCTGTAATATTTGATTTTTCGGTTTTCCTTTTATACCCATATTGAAGCTGACATCTTGTAAATGATATTTTAAATGAAATATAAGCTTTGAGGACAGTAGAAATACGTATAATATACTTCGATAAATTTATCTCCCGCAAATATCAATAAAATGTGGAATTAGCGCGTCATCTGTAATGAGAAATAGAAACTATTTTAGACGCGTAATGAATATTTTGGGGGTCGGTGGAAGGATGGTCTAAACCGTTGGTTTTCGACCGCTACGACCCGGGTTCGATTCTCGCATTGGGCACTTTTTAATGTTTAAAAAAAAAATGCTCCAATGGGTCCCGATTCTTGCAAAAGTCCAACCTCACCAGCGAGTGCAAATAACCAAACGGGGCTCAGGGACATTTGTAAGTGCAAAGTCGAACTGCTTTTCACATGTGTAGACATGTGGTGCACTTACAGTAAAAGCAGTCGCCTACTTCTACCCACCATGATTATCATGGCCTGTACCACGTGTACAAGGGATAAGCAAAAAATAATATTTTTAAAAATTAAACACATATATCTACTGTCCTTATTGCAATGGTAAATGAGATAGGAGTGTACTCCCCACTATTGCATATTGGACTGATGTAAATAAATGGACGGATGCCAATTCTCGATGTACTTTCCGCAACCGTTGTTAAAACCTTCCAGTTTCACTTTGCATGTAGGCCTGAATATCTTTGATTGCATTTTGGGTTTTACTCCGTTTTTAACACAACAGCAATCAGAATATGTTTTTTTTAAGACAATGGTAATCACCCTATTGCTTTAACAGAAGAAAAAAATCACAAAACGGCAAGTTTCTTTCATTTATAAACAGTTGTACAAGATTTCGGATAAGTTGCCTATCTACGGATACCATACTTGTATTGATAGTAGAAAGGCAAATTTGTCCCGAAATCTTGTACAGCTGTTTATTTTTTTGCCTTTCCCTAGTACACGTGGTACAGGCCATAATAATCATGGTGGGTAGAAGTAGGCGACTGCTTTTACTGTAAGTGCACCACATGTCTACACATGTGAAAAGCAGTACCAGAGCCCCGTTTGGTTACTTTCACTCACTGGTGGGGTTGGACTTTTGCAAGAATCGGGGGCCGTTGGAGCATTTTTTTATCAGAAAAAGTGCCCAATTCGAGAATCGAACCCGGGTTGTAGCAGTCGAAAACCAACGGTTTAGAACATCCTTCCACCGAACCCCCACAGCTGTTTATAAATGAAAAAAGTTCTTCTCCCCTTCTTGTGATTTTTTCTTCTATTAATCAGTATATTCAATGTTGGATGGTTGAAACACGCTCTGGAAAGATACAAGACACAGCGCAGGAGAAAATCAAGATTGAAGAGTCTGACAAACCGCAATAACATATTGTCACGTTTAAAATTAGGAAAAACAGACTTCAGGATGACACAGCAATTTATTCAAGGCACAAACTAGAATTAATAAAATACTAGAGAGGCAATAAGGCAAGTTTACACACACAGAAT